AGCACAGGAACAGGAAGGAAAAGGAAAAAGAAAGAAAGAAAGAAAAGGAACGTTTGAAACGGTGTGTTTACTAATATTCAGTACATGAGATTCCTAAAGCCCAGGCGTCCTCCTAGTTAACCTTGTCCTGGAATATATACAGGTTGTTGGTGGCTGCCACGGCGATGATGTTCTCGGAGGGGTGCCAAGCTGTATGCAGGATCTTTTTGCTAAAGTCCAGACTGTCCACGCTAATTTCGTCTTTCCTCCGCTTGCCGCCCACGCAGACCTTGCGCGGCTTGAGGATGGCGCGGGGTTTGCTGTTCTCCCGCGAGGCCTCCAGCGTCACATCGCGCTTGGTGTTGCGGTCAAACATGCGGAAGAAGTTGTTGTAGGAGCCGGTCATGATGACGCTGCGAGGGGAGGGAGGACGGGGTCACCGTGAGCCACCCCTGGCTGCGATACCCCAGACCCACCTGGTGTGGCCACTGCAGGGACCGGGGGGCAACCGGGGCACCCGGCAGCTTGAGTGGAAGCGAAGCCACAACTGAACATCACAGCACGGTTTGGGTTGAAGGGACCCCAAAGCCCCCCCAGTCCAACCCCCATGGGCAGGGACACCTCCACCAGCCCAGGCTGCTCCAGGCCCCGTCCAACCTGGCCTTGGGCACTGCCAGGGAGGGGGCACCCACAGCTTCTCTGGGCAACCTGGGCCAGGGCCTCATCAAGCTCAGACTGAAAATGGAGGACACGTCCCCATGTCCTTAACCCAGGGATGTGCATGGGGAACACAGCGCCTCCCCGATAACAACGCACACAGACGTCAGTGTTTGTGGCAAAGACTTGTCTGACCTGGACCCAGTGGTTTTCACACCCTTTTAGAGGCAAAGTGCCTGGTGACCAGGGGCAGACTGAACACCCAGGCACAAGGAGCGTGAGATCAGATCTGGATCTGGGCTTCAGGCCCGGTTGTGCCTCAATAACTCACTCTGAGGGGGTCAAAGGCAAAAATGCATCAACCCAGCCAGGTCTCCTGGGCCAGGACGCTCTGCCACTGGATCGGGGTGATCTACACGTGGGTCGTTGTCACCTCCAGATTTTGGCAATCGGGAGCCAAATGCTCCCTGAGCGCAGGTGTAATGGTAACAGGACCCAAACCCGTCCAAGGGGAAGCCAGGACCCCATCAGAGACCCCACAGCGCTTGGATGTGGGGCTGCAGGTCTGTGATGACCCCCAGGGAAACTCCAGACCCCGCACCCAGCCCAAGGGACCCCACGGGGACGCAGGAGCCACCGGGCGCTCCCAAAGCGGGCGGCGCAGGGCCGGGTGCGGGGCAGAGCCGCAGGGGAACGCTCACCTCCAGACGCACTCGAACTTGTCGAAGATGCAGTCGTTCTCGTAGAGCGAGCAGAGCTTGCTCCGCAGGTAGTCGTGAACCTGCGGCACGGAGGGACAGTGAGGGATGGGGCTGACCCCACAACCCCGGTGTTCTCCAGGGGCCGACAGCCCCAGCCCACCCCCTGCTGGTACCGCACCTGGTAGGTCTCGATGGGCCGGTTCTCCATGTTCAGGTCCCACACCTTGACGGTGAGGTAGTCCCGGGTCATGATGTACCTCCCGCTGTGGCTGAACTTGACGTCGGAGATGGAGGAGATGATCTCGGAAAAGAACGAGCGGTTGCTTGGGTCTTCGGGCTCCTCGAAAACTGCAGAGAGGAAAGGACAAGGCCTGGCATCAGCAAGGGGGAGCTCCCCATCCCCGGGAGCTGCGGCCCTGCCCCGGCACTGCGGGACGCCCCGGGAGGGAGTGGGTGTTGATGGCTACGGCTGGGGAGGCTCCGTTTTGGCTGTGGGGCCAAACAGGCAGCACTGAGCCCCTGTCCTGGCAGCCACCACCAACGCCCCTGACCCCGGAGGCACCACATCCCCACCGGACATCACCACCGTGGCCGGGCCAGCGCTCCCCACTCCTGGGTTTGACCAGACCGGACAAATGCCCCTGATTTAAGGACCTGACTTGGCACAATTGAAACTCCTTTGTTTTTAATGCGTGCAATAAGGAACAAGGATCATCGGGGACCGATCTATCTACAGTGCCACAGCAACCTGGAAGATTTAGAGCCTTGGTGCTGTTTCTGCTCTCCAGAAATCAATGTGCAGCATAACTGAAAGTCAATGCAAGTATTTTATAGCCCCTGCAACCTACAGATTTAATCTGATCAGCCTCTGAATAAATCACAGTCTGAAGGCGGCCGATGAAGCTCCAGATCAAATGTATTTACAGATCTGATTTCCAAGTCAGCTCAGCTTTAAAAACCCCTCACAGATGGGGCTGTGCCAGCAACACCCGGTACCAACACCCGGTACCAACACCCGAACCCCTGAGCACAGTGGTAAAAACCGCCCCAAGCGCCAGATAAACGATCTCCCTACAAATCAGCAGTGGCATCGCCCACAGCAGGACCCGGCTCTGGCTCCTTTATCACCAGCAGGGAACCTGATGGCGCGTCAGGTTTTTCAAGTAAGAAAAGCGACAGCAACAAGAGGGAGTCGAGATCTGAGGGGTCTGTGGATGGCGCCTGAACGCGGCCCTGTCTCCGCTCTCATCAGCACACGCCTGCCGTGGCCAGGCCGGGTTCCATGGTTCCCCCATGGCCACGCCGGTTCCCAGCTCGTGTGAGGGCTGGAGGTACTGGGGTCCGGCACGGGAGCGGGGGAAAGCGGTGCTGGTGTAGGAGCAGGAACTGCCGAATTGCCAACGGGAGAGGCCTCAGGGCTGAGGCTCCTGGGCACTCGGGGGGCACCGGTCACCAAGCGGAGTTTGGGAGGGACATTCACAGGCGGCTCCTTAAAGAAAAGTGGAGATCTCAATGCTGCACCCCCACGGGGTTCTCCTCACTTCCCAGACGCTGTTTGGAGCAGGGCTGCTTCTGCTACAGCTGCTCCAGGGAGCCCCACGTCCCCTCGGCCTCCCGTGGTGCCTCAGACACCACCAGCGATGGTTCGTGCACCGTGTCCCGGCTGGGTGCCCCCTCGCAGGACCGCCCCCACACCCCAGGGCTGCAGCACTGGGTACAGCCCCGCAGAGCCATTGTTTTGGTGTGGGGCTGTGCCGAGGGCAGTGACACAAACCCCATCACCATCGCGGGAGCTCAGACAAACCAGCCAACAGGATGTAATCCTTGAAGCACCTCAGTGAGAGCTGGCCCGAGCAGCATGCTGCATCCATCCAAACAAACATGACCGGGCTGTGCCGTGCTGCCTCCTGCATTTCTATTAAACACCAACAGTTATTGAATGTCTCCGCTGCAGGATTCACCTCCGAAAGCCACTGCTGAGCGCTGGTGAACGTCTCAGTTTCCCCTCCCACGGCTGCTGCGCGGCCATTGACTGCGGTGCTGCGGGGACGGGGGGATCAATACCAAAGTGGCACGGGGGGGTCAGAGCCATGGGGGGATGCAGCGGTACCCAAACAAAGGGAAATAATGGAGGCTTATTGCCACCAAAGTGCCAGAAAATGAATTTTGGTTGCTCCTTATTTGTATCCTACTTCTCAGCCGGGAGCCGTCAGCGTAGCACAGAGACACGGTTGGGAAATGCAGGAAAGGAAAGGTGTGTTCTGCTCGGGATTTGGGACATCTGCTGTTGGGTGTTTCGAGTCTCTGGACAGTGATGGCACCTTTCCTCACCCATCTCAGTCTGCCTTAAAGCCAGCACCAGACTGCGACTGCAGGCAGAGCTCAATGCAGCAGCCGGGGCGCAGCTCCCCCCGCCCCAGGAAGCCCAAATCTGGAGCCCCCGGAGCTCTGGGGCACAGGGGCTCAGCACAGGGCACTGGGTTGTGCTCCTTGTCCTCCTAACGGCGTCACACTTCAAACACTGAAAACCTCATTGAATTCCCACAGGACACTGGCCATTTCCTGAAGACAACACAAGAACAGGAGCCGTGGGTTCAGCACAGCCAAACTTTGCTGTCTTGAAGGCAGACCCCAAACTCGCCTGGTCTGGCCCATCTTTGTGTCCAGACCCCAAACTCTTCAGCTCTGCCCCATCTTTGTGTCCAGACCCCAAACTCATTGGGTCTGCCCCATCTTTGTGTCGAGACCCCAAACTCGTTGGGTCTGCCCCATCTTTGTGTCCAGACCCCAAACTCGTTGGGTCTGCCCCATCTTTGTGTTGAGACCCCAAACTCGTTGGGTCTGCCCCATCTTTGTGTCCAGACCCCAAACTCAACGGGTCTGCCCCATCTGTGTGTCCAGACCCCAACCTCGTCGGGTCTGCCCCATCTTTGTGTCCAGACCCCAAACTCATTGGGTCTGCCCCAACTTTGTGTCCAGACCCCAATCTCGTCAGGTCTGCCCCAACTTTGTGCCCAACCCACAGCAGCTCAGCCCAGAGCCGCCCTCCAGAGCTGCTGGGGCACAAAGCACCACACCAGGCACCACCAGCACACCTCAAAGGGCACGGGGCCAGGGCGAGGCTGCTCCTTTTGGGATGGGCAGGAGGCCACGGGGATGCGCAGGGACAGGCAGGACCAGAGCCCGGCACACCGGGAGCTCCCTTTTTCGGTCTCTTCTAACCCAAAGGGCACCCCGTGGCGCTGTCGAGGGCTGTACTCACACTTGGCGTGGCGGTCGCAGAGGGCGGCGGTGCGCATGTCGCACAGGCGGATGGTGCCTTTGCTGCTGCTGTAGACGAAGGTGTTGCAGTGGTGCGGGTGGAACTCGGCGGCCGTGATCACCTCCGTCAGCTCCTCCATGTTGGCCGGTTTGATGTCCACGATGTCTGGCGGGGCGGGTCAAGGAGCGCAGGGAGGACACCAACGCACCACCAGTGGGTGGACGGGACATCTGCGTGGACACCTCTCCACTGGAGATGTTCCTCCATCAATTTTGGGAGCTGCATTTGCACCTTGGCCAAGCCCTCCCAGGCCATGTAAACCCCCTGAGGTTTTACCCAAATTCAGCCCTCCTCACCTCATTCCCCAAAAAGTGACACAGCTCCACTGTACCCGCTCCGAGCCCCCACCAGCCACACGCCCGTGACCGCTGAAATCCTCCTCGCTGCCTAAATCCGCCACAGGCACTGGGGATTTCTCATCAGAAATCACTACAGGGTGATTAGCGCCCGGTTGTTACCATTTCCCATGCGGCTGTTAGGGGGTGACTGGCACCACCTCGTTTGTCCGCTCGTGACTGGCAGCCCGTCACCGCGCCGCAGGGCACAACGGGGCCGGCGCAATTAGTGCTTCCTCCCTGCGCCTTCCCCAAGGCGTCTGTCTGCTCCATCACTGGCCGCC